TGTGTGTGTGTGTGTGTGTGTGTATGTGTGTCTGCAAAAAGTGAGGCAACTCAGCTGTCAGACAAAAACCCAGACATGAGAACTTGTTCAGTGTCCTGTTGTGAATTCAAACCTTCTTTACCGTCTTTGCRTCTCGTAGGGCTCGGAGGCGATGGAGGACTGTGTGCAGGGGGCGCTCTCATCACTTTACCCTCCCTTTGAGAGCACGGCACCACCCCTCCTCTCACAGGTAAGATTTGTTTCTATTAAATGACTCTACAGAAACAGACAGAAGAGGAAAATACTGGAAGTTACTGTAAAATTACCCCATGCTGGAGGAAACACAAACTAAATCTGRCCATGTAGTTACTCATAGCAATTTTCGAACCTTTATAGCAAACAAAACAACTGGATGTTTTGTCAAAGCTGTTTATAGATTTACTGTGTCCTGGACAACTTAGATCTACACCAGTGTGACAATAAGCTAAGAAGATGTATTTTGCACAACCAATTGTTAAAATCCATGACRTGTTTCCACATGCATGGCTYGCTAAACTGTATTCCAGGMTGTGCACRTTAATGCCCACAATGTACCCGCCTCAGCAGCCATCCTCATGTTTGATTTATTCTACTGYAGTACACTTTTGAATTTACAATAGGTAGATTTGGGCCAATTTATTATTTATWATCAGCATGACTTTTAGATCTGGGCATTTAAGGCACTAGAGCCTCAATTGTTTTCTGCTAGCTTAGAATTCAAGCTTTAGCATTTCCTGAAAAAGGTTTTAGACACGTTCAAGATGCTCATAACAACTCTGCAATATGTTTTGAGAGATGTGTCAAACCAAGAGAAAAAAAAAACTATTGAATGTGTTCAAAATTGAAGTGGCAGGACTGTGAGCCTGTGCAAATCATGCAAGGAAATTAAGAACTCCCCAAGAATGTTTTAAACACTTGAAAGTCTCCCTCGCAACTTGCTGCCTATATCAGCCAAGTGAGAAACTGGATTACTGGATTAAGCTCCACAAGTACCACCAATATAACTCACATTTGAAATCAGTGCTGTAGCTTTGTTCATGTCTGACAATACTTCTAGCAGGTCCTGAGACTCCTGCTTAAGTAGGCACTATACCAGTTCACTGCCATCCACTCCAGTTTCCACAAGAGTTTTTGAAATATTCTCCACTGCACTTCTGTTKGGAGTAGTTTTCATTTGGWGCCAAGATTGCTTGAACTATCCATCTTTTTGTCAATGGCTGCTTTTTCTTAGTTTTACACTACAGTTCATGTTAGTGAGATTTTTATTCCACTTCTAGATCACAGATCCTAAAATTCACTCTGGAGTACCAAAAAAAAAGTAACCTGAATACCACCAGTAATACAATCAGAAAACACCTTTTCTCCAATCATTGACTTAAAATGACCAGTTTTGCTAAACACTGCCCATCATTCCTGTCTTCATAATTAACTTTTGACAATATACCTCTATGCTGTGGTTTATTGGGGTTTTGTAGTTAGTTTGTGCTAAACTGCCATATTACTTTCACCTGTTTTCTCTGTTTGTATGGAAGAAGTGTGAACCATTGGGATTTGGCAGCTTTCTGAAAAGAATAAACTACCCCATTAAATAAACTCAAAAATTTAAACCAAGGCTGTATTTAGGCTACACCACTCTGGATCTTCTTCAGAACAGAAATTTTAGCCTATGTTAGCAACACTACTCCAACATGAAATTTTCAGAAACAGTTTGTTTGATAKATCCATGGGGATTTTTAATACAGAACTTTAAAGAAACRATTACATGGCAGCTTATTTGGTTCACACCTATTATTAGGCCTATTTTGTGTCCCAGAAAGGCACAAAGTAGTGTTTTGCATTGTTTTTGTGCTATTTTATCCTGATTTTATTACTATTAAACTTTGATTATGTGGTAAAATGATCAATAATCAAATCATTAAAAAGTGTTACAGTGTTTCGGCAGAGTATTTAAAYATGCTAAGAATAGTCTTTTTTTGTATCTTGATATGGGTTGACATGAACATTCTCACCACCTGATGGCACAATATAAGTATTTCAGCATTTTCCTGAGAATTTTGCTGACAAGAGAAATTAATAGAAACATAAATCAAGAAAAAAATACCTGTCACCAGAAACCGATACTGTGTATAATGCTAAAAACCCATTATATCAAGCATTTCAATTAAGATATTTTGTGTATGTGTCTCCTTTTGTTGGTCCAGGTCTTCTCAGTCTTGGAGTCAACCTATCAACACGACAGTCTTCGTTACCTCCTGGACTTTTTTGTACCTGCTAAGCACCTCTTGCACAAACTTCAGCAGCATGCCTGTGTGAGTACCAAACTACAGACACTCTGCAGATGAGAACACACACGTAGCTRTATAATCAGAAGCAGGATCGGCTGTCACAAGCAAGAAACACACTGTGGGAAAACTGTCAGCCGTGGACTTCTTGAATACTCTGGTGAAAGTGGTTGTTTGTTGTTTGATTGTTAGCCTTTTGAGCAATGAGTCCAATTCAAGTTTTAAGTCGGTCACAAGAAATWGAGCCAAAGGAAGTTGAGGTAAATCTCAAGGCATGAGCAGGAATGTTTGGAGTCAATGTAGACAAAACCAAGTCAAGATTTATGTTAGCTTTATAAAGCTTAACATCAGGCCTCGTTCAAGTAAACAGAAAAAACTCACATCTGGTCTATTTCTGAGGGAAAAGCCATATTTCCCCCTCATCATTTTATTGCAACAAGTCAAAGCTTTAGATTAGTATCAARTCATACAGGGTAAAACTACAGGAAATGTGTCGTTTGTTGTTCAGATCCATTAGTCTTTAGACCTTTTGAGATAAAATTAGGAATGAGCACTTACAGCCCTTAGACAGATGAARTAGACTAACTGGGCATAGATCCATGGGTCAAAGGGTCAGGAAAACACTTTTCCTGGGCCTTTGTTCAAAGATATTGTTAACGAGTTGTCRAACAGTAATTGAAACAACTACAAAAAAAAAAGACTCCATTTGACAACAGAAAACACAAAACCACATGAATGGAAAAACTACCAAAAAAGACCCATCAACAAACAAGACAGTATTTTTATCCAAAGTAAACAAAMAAATTATAAATAAACAATGACATCAAGGAGAAGGAAAACAATCAAAAACAGACAGAAAAAATAACGGTAAATTGACTTAAAATGTTGAAAAACTAATGAGTCACAAAAAAAACCAGGCAGGTTAAACAACTACAAACACAAACTACAGAAACAAAGAGTGTTGACACAACGCATCTAAACCACAGTGAGGGATAAAAGAAACACAAGATAAAACCTTTTTGACACATAGGTACTTTCACTCTGGGTTGGAGTACTCTTACAAATACACAACCAGACTCTGCTTCTGTCCCTTAACTCATTCATTCAGAAGCACCTAAGTGTGATGGTTTGATCTAATCATCTTCCATTCCTCTTTCAACTGGACATTTTAAGTCTTGTTACATATACAACTTACATATATTGTTTAYTGTGTTTTCATTGAACAGGTTGAATTAGGAGAAAATTGAAGATGAAGCTCATCTTCAAGTAAAGTCCAAACAAAACCCACAGCAAGAATTTTCTCCACATCCATGTTTGTGGAATGAATACATGTTGGTCTWATAACGGTGCACATCATGTGACCAGACATAGTAAACAACCATGATTGAACAAAATAAGTTGTATATCTCAATACTTTTCAAACTTCACAAACCCTTTAACAACGCGAAATGGTACGTACCATATTGATGCGTGCATAATGTAACTTGAGTATAATGTGACCCCCCATTYTGAGAGCTTAAAAAGTGTTAAAAAGTCAAATCTTTGCATGTAACGCTACACCTAATTTAAGACAGGATTTTTTAGCATTTCCTGTGAACTCTCTGGTTGAAAACGTTATATTAAGGCTACCTATTTAAATGGTAAAAGGGGTGTTTTTCATGCGAAGCAGTGCATGTTTATTAATTTATTGTGAMAATTCATTAGCAAAACGTTTGTCAAGATTTACTCCCATGTATAATACAAACCCCCAACTTTATGGAGGACTTTTTTGGGGTTAAATTTTTCACATTATACATGCATTACTTTGGTACTTAGCATCAACCATGTGTCATTGTGAATAACCCTGTATTTACTTGACACATATTTGCCAAGAACACAAAAGAATTATGTAACTATTACAAAATAATAAGAAATACAAGCAAAGGCAGTGTCTAACAGTCATGCAAGCAACACAAGTATACTGTGGCTGAGCAGACAGAGCATGTGCATGAATGTGTGTGTAATGTTGTTGTTGGGTCATCGGTAAGATGGCATACTGTACTYTATTTGAAACATAGTAGATATTTTTTACAGCCAGACAACGCAAAATGCTAGGGCAGCACGATGGATCAGTGGTTAGCACCGATGCCTCACAGCAAGGAGGTCCTGGGTTTGATCCCCGGTTTGGACCTGGGAGTTTGCATGTTCTCCTCGTGCTTGAGTGGGTTTTCTCCGGTTGCTCTGGTTTCCCCCACAACACAAAAATATGTACAATAGGCCCAGGCCGCCCTTGAAAAAGAGGTCTGTGATCTCAGTGGGATTTGCCTGGTTAAATAATGATATACAAGTTCAGTTTTTTATGCAATGCCACCTAAATATTAAATTTTCTTTCAAGAGTAAGTTCCTGGCTAGAATGACTCCAATGCTAAAGGAAAGTTTCATGTTTTTCAATTTGATCCATGCTCAAACTTTTATTTACTAAAGGGTTAAATAAAACTCTAAAACATAAGCTGGCAAGTCAAATTGTACAAAAGTGTCTGGTTGAATTTAAGTTTTTGTTGTTGTTGTTGTTGTTGTTGTTGTTTTCCCGAGGCAGAGTTTGTGGTTTCCTGCCTTGGAGGCTCTGTGAAATGAAGGACAAACAGAAAAGTGAAGCAAGGGTTTTTTTTTGCTTGTAATTTTCAGTCCACATACCGACTACACTCGACAAACTTCATGTAACCGAGTCACTGTCCAACAGAGTCATCCCTCGAAATCATGACATCTTGTTTTTGCTTTCTGACACATAGTAATTAACCGATGGTGTTTAGCTCAAGCTTAAAAGGAAGAACCTGTCTCATATTTCACCCCACAGTTCTCTCTGGACTCAGACACATAAAACACATGGGGACTTTGAGCAAACTATGTTTTCATTGTCGTTGAGTGGAGCTGCCCGGGACGGGAGTTAGAGTCATGACAATAATTCCTTCCATATGTGACTGTGTTACTGCTGTGAGAGAAAGAGGAACTTGCAGAGCGGTGGCGAGAGTTTGGAGGGGAGAATGGAGAGAATGAACATGGCCTTCATTCATGCAGCCTTCTGTGCATTGAAGTACGCGCATGTCTGGGAGGGAGGGGGAAAAAGAGAAGACTTGTAAGTTGCGAACCATAGAAGACTGATTGAGGAATTTTTAAGAGGGAGGTGGGGTAGAAGGAGCAAACACTGGGGCACATTGAGGGAGAAATGGGTRGGGAGAACCAAAGAGTTTTCAAATATGGTCAACTCAAAACAGACAAACTTTTGAGGGGAAAAAAAAGTGACAAATGCTTTATGTTCATATCCATCACCATGGCTGGAGGATGCATTAAAAAAGAGATGGAAGGGAAGCTTAAGAGGAAGAAATTGAATGAAGTGCACAGAGATAAAAAGAAAGTAAAAAAAAGGGAAGATGGAGGAGAGGTTGAGTTAGGAATTTAATTTGAGCACGTCTAGTGTGTCTGGAGGGCAGGCAGAGGGGAGGGAGCAGCTCAGTGTCAGTATTTTAGACGTGACGGGGAACACCCACGATGGGTTTTATCTGTGAGACTTCAAGCGCAGGGATATAGATCTGACACAGCATTCATTAAAGTGGGAAAGTGCTTGGATTAAGGTGTACTATAATAGATTAGCTGATTAATGTGCATGAGATACCACACAAGTCTTTCATTACTTCGCTTAAATCCACCAAATTCTTGGGTAAATGCTTAGATTCTTTTCCCAGTGTACATTTGACTTTATTGAATTTTCTTGTTTCGTCTCATGTGTTTTCCTCTAATGAAACAGAGGTCAGGTTATTGTGAAGAGCCGATCATCTGCATGTTTTTGTCTGACTCACACCCCTCCATTGTTTTCTCATTGTGTGAATCCACTGACGTGGTTTTTACAAAGTGGAAAACAGYGTGAGTCACGTGTCTGACCTTTGTATGTGCTGTGGGCTTTGGGTCAGTTGAACAAATAAAAAGTGCTGACTTGGGTGGTATTGGTTCTGGAAACTCAACTACRTTAAGCCCAAGTGAGCAGGAAATTTCCAACTGGTGTGTGAGTTGCTTTGTTAATGTGAGAGCATGACTGTGCATCAGGCAGTATTGGTTYAGGCAAGCAGAAACTCTTAAATGTTGGAATTTTAAAGGCTGTTCAGTGAATTAATTAACCTGAAGAGGCTCAAAGGAGAGACRGCCTCATAAAAATTTATGAGGGTGACATTTCCCCCTCTTTATTCATACCTCTAACACACCATTTGTATGTGTCTCTTTGTTCTTGTCTCAGTCTCAGTATCTGGGYTGCTTGTTCCTGCACTCCGGCTGGCCTCTCTGTCTGGGTGAGAAAGTGGTTGTCCAGCTCTCCACCTTAGACTGGAGACTTCTGCGCAGCAATGACTTCTACCTGCAGGTGGTGCCCTTCTCCACCCGGTGCCCCAGACTGGCCCTAAAATGTCTGGCCCCCGGGGGTCGCACTGTTCAGGAGATATTGGTGCCTGAGTCGCAGCATCCTCTCGTGTTCACATCTGAGTGGCTGCACAGYATCAACAAAGAGCGTGGTCACAAGAGAGAAGGTATGGGGACAACTTCCTTTATTCCTGTTGTTTATTCTTTAAAAAGCTGAGCTAAAGTAGTGACTTTAGACATTTTTTTCAAGCACAGAAAAAAGTTTAAATACAATTTTTTATAGACTATGGTTTATCCCACTGAAGCTGTTGAACAGAAACCTACATTAATTTCTTTATTGATATACCAGTCATTGGAATATAAATTTTAATGTTTTGTACTACAGCTTATTGTAAAACCAATAATGATGTACCTTATAAAATGTACTTTTACCAAACATTTAAACTTTACATTACCTCCATCTTCTGTCATTTATTCCACAGTTGGAGGAGGACTTGACACCTGTCTAGTCAGTACATGTGATGGTATAGCGCGACTACCGTGGAAGGAAGTTGTTTACCCAAAGTTCATCCACGACCCATCTGAGGAGCTAGGCCTGATGGCAAACCATGATAATCTGATACCCAGCCGCCTTCCCAGTGAGGGTGGGAGCAGCCTCGGGGGTTGGGGTGGCTCTTCCTCTGGAGAGCTGGACTCCTGGTCCTGGGATGAAGAAGAGGATGAAAGTCTACCACCTTATGGCATGGACCCCGCACTCAGACGAAGGCGTAGTGAAGATGGGCTTGGGCGTACTGCGAGGCAGTCTCAGCTCGATGGGGATTATGTCGAGCTTCTGGAGCCCAGAGGGGGTCCTGATGGAGGGGTTGACTCCAGGCAGAGGTACCTAGAGATGCATGGGATTTGTAAAACCAAGACTTTGCCATTGTGCAGGAGAGGAAGGGCCATCAAACTTCGAAAAGGGAAAGCCTGGACTTCTGGGAAAACAGAAAGATCGGGAAGCTTTCGTGCTTATCGTGGCGCCAAAGGAGAAGCAGTGACTCCAAAGGAGGGTGTACCACCACCAAAGCCTCCAATAGCAGCTGGAGAACTTGGCAGAGTCAGGAGATCTTACTCCTCCTCTGTCCATGACTCAGATGATGGGGATAAAACAAGCAAAGGCTCTGAAGGACAGGAAAGCCACAACCTTTATTTTGATGGCCARTTCAAGGAGAGAAGGCCGGGTGTGGGAAGAGAGCGAGACAGCAACGGAGCCACACAGTCAACCAGAGATGGGCACAAAAATAAAGACTCCCAGAGTAGTGACTGCTTGGTCACTAACGAAATATTTGACCTAACAAACCATAAAGCTGAGTATGTTGTAGAGGGTCAATCAGATCACGGATCACATTCAGACTCTGTTTTTGAGGATACTGACAAACCACTGAGTGGAGACAGCGATGCTATTACCCCAACATCGGACGCACCAGAGAGGCTCCTTACTGGAGTTTCAGAAAGTGAAGGAACTRCCAACAGTGAGTCTAAAATAAAGATGTCACCAAAGCTGAAGGTCACAGATGAAACGGATAAAGGAAAGATGGAGGAAAGAGTGTGTCCCAGAGGAAAGGAAGTTAAAACAGCGGGGTTCAGAGCACCACGGTACAAAGATAACACTGTAATCTACAATCACAGTTGTTTTATATAGTAACACTGATTTATATTTGATAGTACACACTGGTTACTCTTAAAAATAACCATGTTGTCTTTCTGCTTTGTTTTTAGGAGGAAAAGGAAGGGAAAGGGAGCCAAAGGGAAGGGTAAGTCTGGTGGTCGTGGAAACCAGAAAGGAGCAAAACTGCAGAGTAAAACTCCTCAGCCAAGCCCCACCACCAACTCTACACCAGCAAAATTGCTGCTCACTAAGGAAAACCAGTCTAAACCAACTGAAAATACTGACAAACCTGATGGAGTGCCAACGACACATAAAAGGAAAGAGGATAYAAGGAGAAGCAGTGCAGGTTGGAGGAAAATAATGGATTAATTTTAGTWATTACTGAAAGCTTTTATTAACTCAAATTTGTTTTTATTTTCAATTTCATAGCAGAGACAGAGGCTGAATCTTTGCCTGYATGCAATGACCAGTCTGGCACATCTTTCTTAAACCAATCTACAGACGAGGCTGTGTTAGAAGGGACATGCCCTGACCAAATAAACAGTATTACCTCCAAGGAGCCTGCTCTTCTCAGGGAACTGGATGCCAATCTGCTGCAGTCAGGGAAGCTGCAGTTGACAGGCAAGATTCTTTACTTTACTGTAATTTTATGTGACTTGGTAGAGGCTTTTTCGAACATTTGTTTTGAAAATTTTGAGGGTACTAAAAATAACTTCATTACGATTATAGGTACAGTCGACAGGATGGGGCGGGGTCTGGTTTTCACGGACGCAGATGCATCAGAGGAGGGTTTCTGTGCAGAAAATATGGCCCAGACTCTGGCTTGCTACCACAGAATCACGCGGTAAGCGTTCGTGTTCTTTCAAGAGCACCTGCAATCTTTGCAGATTGACAGAGTTTTGGTTTATATTGTGATCTAAAGCTGTTTCTATGGCTTTGTGTCCAAGTTTGCCTTGAAAGCAGGAGGCTGTGCTTTCAGAAAGTCTTGATTTTGACATTTAAATTTGTTTAGGCCAGGATTCTTATTGAGCAAAAAGACATTTGGGTAAGATTGGATAATGCCCTGGGGTGTTGGAGCAACTTCCTGCTGGCTGGTGAAGGACTGGCCAACTCGGGTCAAGTTTACAAAATGAGTCAGAGATTTAATCCCTTGTGTTTGAATTAAAAAATGCACCAGTTTAGGCAAAAAAATCAAACTTTGATTTCTTGCTGTTTTTAATCTGATGCTGAATCAGCTTTAGAATACCTTTAATCTCAAAGGTCTTACAGCTGGTCTGCTTAACTAACTGAGGCTCAAGTCAGGAATTAAAACATGGAGGAATTGAAATTGTTATTTTGGATTACAAAATGGCCAACTTCCTGTGTTGTTTAAAAAAGAAGGGGCAATACAACATTCAGTATTTTTGCCCCTCGTTTATTAACTTTTAGTATAAGTAGAAGGTAGGATTAACAGAATGATTCTTAACCCATCAACSCATTTCCAGCCACTTATCCATGGTTGTGGAGAGGAGGCCAGGCCACTTACTACAAGCTCTCTTGGAAACCCTCCCTCAAACTCATCCCCCCACAAATTTAACCCTTAACATCACCAACCATCTSCTGTCTGTAAAAACAAGGAGACCACAAAAAACAAATTTAACAGTTACTTTGAGCTGTGCAAAGGACTATTTGTGYTGTAATGTTTAAAACACACCCCCTTTTGGAATGTAACAAAGTTATATAAAGACAAAAACACATTTGGTGACAAACATTAAGMGTTTTATCACTTTTAAGCACATTTTGACTAGAGAACATTCTCATTATGATAGTTATCTTTAATAGTTATAATTTATGGACATTATTGTTGCCAAAATACTTGAACTTTAAAATGCCTGACATGATTTTTTCTAATGAATATAAATACAKTTTTTGAAAGATAGCATCAGTCAAGAACTAAATTTTTTTACAACAAAATGAATCGTTGTTGATATATTTAAATGTGACATAACAGGAAGTGATGTCAAAGGGGAATGTCAGCATGTGAACAGAACTTTGCTACAGCAGCTAACAGCACAGACTGTAGAGAAGAATCTGATGTTTCTTTATAGATTATTTTGAGTCACTATCAGAAAGAGATGAAGACGGGTSAGAGCTCAAATAATAGAAAAAGTCTGGGGAGTTCCCTTTCTTTAAGAGTTTCCCTTTATTGTCACTTCCTGTTTCACTTTGGCTGAGACACATTCAAAAGAAAATGTATATAAGTGTTTTATGTCCTTTCTTAAATATAAAGAATTGATTTATTTTTGGCTTTTTGTATTTGAAGGATATCCATGTTTAAAACTATATAATTGGTAATAACACAGGCAAACAAATCAACAGAAGTAATACCAAAACTCTCATATTGATCTTTTACTCAACTTATCACAGTAGTCACAGCATGGTTCAAAACATAAACTAAAGTAGCACAATCAGTTCCCCAACTGTGTTTATTTTGCTAATAACCCGTGCACAATTGAAATTAAGCTACACAAATATTTTAAAGGGGAAATATTATGTGTTTCTCAGGCATACATTTAAATACTATACCATAATAAAGTATATATGTCAACTTTACCTGTTATTAAAATGCTGTTTTTATGTTTAAATAGAAAATAAACTTATCTTCTCATCACTTCCTCTTCTAAACACCTTGAAATTGGCCTCTTTCTCTTTAAGAACCGCCTTCTGCTTCTGTACCATCCTGTTCTTAAAATGCTGTTTTTATGTTTAAATAGAAAATAAACTTATCTTCTCATCACTTCCTCTTCTAAACACCTTGAAATTGGCCTCTTTCTCTTTAAGAACCGCCTTCTGCTTCTGTAC